GTTGGATTAATAAATAAATGTAGTCTTAGTGATTAAGATGAACTAGTATAAAAATACCTAGTGTTCCATCTGACTACTCTTCGCACTTTATCTAACTAGCGTTACTACTTCACTTCAAAAAATGTGTGAGTTTTTGATACACATTATTCAACCCCCTTTTCTAGTACTTATATTTTATCTACACTCTTTTCTCCCTCCTACCTTGAGACCAATGCAAACTAGATTGCTTGTCATTGATGAAGTCAATGTTAAAGTCCCTTCACCTTCCTTTTTAAGTCCAAAAAGTTCCACCAGTATATTCTAAATCACTCATTGAAACTGTTGTTCCCTCTGTGAAACAATCATCTAAAGTTGTAGGTACTAAAACATTCTTGCAAAATGTTAAAAAGACTGCAGGAACATTACCTGAAACAACTAATGAAATTGCACCACCTTCTATTGATACCAATACAATTAAGGTTGAACCACTAAATGTTGCCACAATAATAGTGGAGCCAAACCAAGACGCCCTAAAGATTTTGAATGGATGGTTCCACCTAGTGAGGCCCATGAAGCATTGATTTTTGCTTCTGATGATATAGAGTAATTGATGGAAGAGCTCTCAAATAAAGAGGACAACCCTAACTTTGTCCTCGTAAGCGATCCTCCTGAAAGATCTACTACAACTTGGAGGAGTACTTGAATCTTTTTCACAGAGATAGGCAAAGGATTACTTTATATCCTCGCACTAAGGAACTATTGGAGGTGAAGCCCCTTTATTTTTATAGTCAACATCGTTTGGATAACCAAACCATGGAGCTTATCAAACAACTCCAGTTTGAGCATGAAAACGCATGTCACACCAAGGTCATCATCGAGCTTAACTACAAAAGGTACATCTCATAACCTTCCATTCATGATTGGTGCATCATGATGACCATGTCAACTTCAACCATGAATCCAATTCTTTCAAGTTGAGTCATGACCTAAGGTTGCGCAGTGAGTGACCCTTTGGATATGTCAAGGATATCAAGTATTTGTGTTATGCCTAAGCTCCTCGATCTAGAAACTCTATAGTCAACAAGGATTACCTCGAACTAGAGAAGGTAATCAATGTATATACTTATTTATGAAACAATGATAATCTTTTCAACAGCCACTTCACATTTGAGAAACTTGTCCTCCCTAACTTTTATCTTTATTGTTGACACTATTTTCACTTCTTATTAATTTTATTTTATTTTTCTAACCAATAAAAAAGACATCACTTTTTTTTATTGAATATTTAGTGTTATATAAGAGATGGTATATTGTTTGGTCCACTAGTGATGGTTACTAAATCCTAGAGTATAGTCTTATATATATATATATATGAGGGGAGTTATAATTATATCTGTGTAACTTTTACTAAGTATTACACCACTCAATAACTTTATATTAATTGTGAATTTTGTAAATCCAACCGTTAGATTGAAAGTTCATATCACTTTATACATATATATCAAATTTTGTTAAAATTGAACAACAACTTAAAGATAATCAAAGCGTTTATATTTTAGTGTATTTTGAAATGAATATGTTACGTCAATTTTGTTTTATAAAAATGAAGTATCAAATCATCTTAGATTAATATAAAATTTTGTATATATAATCTAAGAGATATGAACTTTCAATTTAACGGTTGAATTTACAAAATTCGCATTTAATATAAAGTTATTGAGCGATGTAATACTTAGTAAAAGTTACACCGATGTTATTATAACCTCTCTTGTATATATATATTAGTCCTTTAAATTTAGAGTAAGTATGATTTTTATTTCCTAAATTTTAAATTTTTTTTTTTTGTGGTACATGTTATTTCAACAAATAGTCTACCTTCATGTCTCGTGATCAAGTACCATAAGTGAATCTACAATACAAAACTCAACTACCATACAAAACTCAACTACTATATTTTGTCAGTGACAAAACACACATAGCCGAAGAGAAAAAGTCTAGTCGGTTCAGATGATTCAGTTCGAATTTTAAGATTTCAAATCCGATTTTGGGTATTGAATTTGAGCATGTAGAACCAAAAGCAATCTGAAACTTATACTATTTAAGGATAATTTAATCTGTAACTTTATACTTCTATAATTTTATATAGTGTAATTTTTTATATTGCAAAATTTATAATTTTTATGGTGTGTAATTCTATAATTCTAACTTTTGACATTATTCATTAACTTTATTTATTTTATAACAATTTTCTATGTTTTTTCTCAATTTTTATTAGGCAATACGATAAATAAAAAAAATTCAGATATGATTGGACTGATCGGATCATTATTTCTTTTAAAAATTTGATCTAAACCAAATGTATTAATATTGAATAGTTCAATTTTAATATTTTTTAATTTAATAACTAAAAAAATTGTTATATAATAATACATATTCTATAATTACATTTATTTATCTCTAAAAATTACTTTTATATATATTATAGATATAATATATATTAATATATTATTATAAAAAG